AAATTGAGGGACCAGCAGTTAGCATAATGGCTATGTCGCTGGACTCCCACATAGTCGACCACGGTTTGCATCCCGGACCCGGTGGCTGAAAACTCACGCTGGGCGCATGTGAGTGTGTGCCCAAGATCCCGAGAGAAGAATGGAGGAGAAGGGATTGCGGCATGGCCATCTCCCCTGGGGGTGACTTCTTTTCTGTCTCTCTGTCTCTGGCGAGCGCACGCACCCTATAGCAAAAAGAAAAACCTCTCCAAAAAAAAAAATTTGATAGAAGATAGGAGTGCTTCCTGGGGAGACAGAGAGAAATTTCTCACCCAAGGGGGGAATGACCACTCTGCAGTCCCTTCTCCGCTCTCCTCTGGGTATTTTGGGAACACACAGGTGCCCAATGTATTTTTCCCTTTTAACGTTATTTATTTATTTAAAGAGAGTTTTGCTATAGGGCATATGCAATCCCTTCTCCTCCATTCTCCTCTTGGGATCTTGGGCATGGACACACACATGCACTCAGTGTGAATTTCAGCCACCAGGTCTGGGTCTTGAACCATGGTCGACTATGTGGGAGTCCAGTGATGTAACCATCGCACCATTTGCTGGTCCCTATTTATTTATTTTTTTAAATTTGACCAGGGAGAGAGAGGGAAAGTGAGAAAGGAAACCTCCAGGTCCGAGACTTGAACTGTGGTTCACCAAGTGGGAGTCCAGCGCCCTTAACCACCACGCCACCTGCTGACACCTCCCCCCCACCCCCTATATTTTTCAAGCTTCCAGACCTCCATGTGATTTTCAAAAATCGTGGAGGGCTCCCCCCAGGGCTCGAACCATGCAGGTGGCCATGTGGAATGGAGGTGCCTTAGCCTTCATGCCACCTGCTGGCCCTCACTGTGTGCTATGACAATGGGGACCAGGTGGGGAAGCGAACCTGGCAGCTGTCTCCTCCTGCAGCCCCCCTGCAGCCACCCAGAGAGCTCACCTTCCCACAGCTGGCTGGGGCAGGCTGCCCCAGTCCCCAGTCCCCAGTCCCCATTCCCCAGTCCTGCAGGAAGACGGCAAGGCTACTCCTTGGAATAGTGGCCTCAGAGGGGTTGCAAAGGGATGGTGCCGATGACCAGCGGGAATTCCAGGCGCAGCTTGGAGAGGCTGGAGATGCCCACGCACACCTGCAGAGACCAGACACGTGGGAGGGTGCTCAGGCAGCTGCAGCCTCCGTCTGCAAAGACTCCCAGATCACCTCCCTCTGGGGCCAGGGGAGGATGAGGTCCCAGCTCCAGCCTTGGGCCCCCGCCCCCCTGCAGAGCCCAGCCACGTGGGAGGGTGCTCAGGCAGCTGCAGCCTCCGTCTGCAAATACTCCCAGATCACCTCCCTCTGGGGCCAGGGGAGACTGAGGTCCCAGCACCAGCCTTCTGGGGGCGGGGAACCTCAGTTTGGGGGACAGAAAGAACCAAGCCAACCCCAGATCACCTCCCTCTGGGGCCAGGGGAGACTGAGGTCCCAGCACCAGCCTTCTGGGGGCGGGGAACCTCAGTTTGGGGGACAGAAAGAACCAAGCCAACTTTGGGAACCAGCAGTTAGCGTCATGGCTATGTTGCTGGACTCCCACGTAGTCGACCATGGTTCACGTCCTGAACCCGGTGGCTTAAAACTCACGCCGGGCGCGGGTGCATGCGTGCCCAAGATCCCGAGAGGAGAATGGAGGAGAAGGGATGGTGG